GTACTGGTACATCCACCACACATTTTATTTCACCGAGTAAGTTTTTATTATTTTATTTTTAATTGTAGCCCTTATATCGTGGTTAGCGATTTGGAATGTAATTGTGATATTAAAAATGCATTTAGAGAAGTCTACGGTTTTTACTGGCTTATCGAATAAACGATACGAATGGACTCTAGACCAGGATTGGCCAACAGTTTTTGCCCCCGGACCAAATTGGAAAGAAAACTTTTTTCACGGGCCGAACCAGAGGCTGCCTAGGAAGATTTTCAGGTGGTGCGAGATCTCATTGTGGACACCACAATGACTAAATTGTACATAGAGATCACAGATACATTTTTCACATTATCATGCATTATCAACATTCTACGCTGTGCTTAAGACATTTCTAATGGAGCGTTAACTCTAAACGCACAGTGAGTTATTCACCTTTTTTTATTTTTAGGCGTCAGAATTTTTCATCGAGCTATTCGGACTTCAATACCTAATATTGACAGATTGATCGCGGGCCACATAAATTCATTAGACGGGCCAGGTCTGGCCCGCGGGCCGTATGTTGGCCATGCCTGCCCTAGACCATCACTGACGCGCAATTGACTGATTGCCCCTGGATGACAGCTTCTTACAGAAACACAGCTTCCCTATCATCAAATGTAACGGCACGCCACTGCTTTTTATCAGTTTAAAATTAATAGAATTGCAGTATTTTTACATCATGGACAAAGTTTTTTTTAAAAAAAGAAAAGCTTTTCTGGCGGTTATTCTCGCGGTCTAACAGGACAAAAAATGTTCGCTTTCTCGCAAAAACGAAAAACCTGCATCTGCGTCTGTAAATCTTGCACGTCGTTTTCTCTTAACACTTCCATTGTTGATATTTCCACTGTTACTTAACACTTCCATTGTCAAAGCCTTAATCCTGTCCCTCTCCCCGGGAGGGGGTAATTTCGAAAAATCCCTTCTTAGTGTGCGTTCTCCTGACGTATCCTAACTGTGTACCAAATTTCAAATTTCAACTCCTAATTGTTTGGGCTCTGCGCTGATTATTATTATTATTATTAACTCATCTCGATTATATACATAGCTTAATTAAAAAGAACTTACCATTATGGTATGCTATATATAAATAATAAATAAGAATTTGTCAGGAACAACTTGAAGATTACTATGTAGTGATTATTTGTTACTAATGTAAAAAATAATTATTGTAAAAATTAAAGAAATGTTAATGTTGCTCACAAAAATAACCTAACTATTTATAAATGAACAATGGAAGCTAGTGGTTTATATCTTACAAAATACACACACTTTTATTTATGTAAATTAGACTGGAAGACCAATTAGTTAAAAATTCGTTTTTAAAGTAAGCCATATAAAGCCTAAAATTGTTTTAATGCAATTATTCACTTCAGCTGTGAAAATGTTTATCAAATCAAAGATGAAAAATGATCTAATCTATCTTCATCACATCTGATTTGTTTGATGCAACCAAAATGTTAAATCTTATCATAAACAGAATATATTTTTTAATAATTATCAATTTATATTCAATGAAATGTTATGTATACATAACAATGCTTAAAATGTTTCAAAATTTTAATATATGTTAATAATTTAGTGTACAATAATGAACTTTATATAGCTTGAGTGTAATTTGTAACAAGTAGACAATGACGATGATGATAAAAGATGACAAAATTTTAATTTTTAAACGTCTGAATTTTTCTTATTTAATAAATGACTTGAAATCAATATATTAATAAATTAAATAAATATATGTTTTTAATGGGTATTATTTACTTGACTGACATATAAAGTAATAAAAATTTCGTTAGATTCAAAATTATTTAGATAAACTGAATTTGTCCGTCGCTTTTTAAACATAACCTTTACTTTACTATATAAAACAAAAGTTTATGTAAAATTAATTTTTATGCATTTTATGTATTATTATATTTTATTCACTAATTTTAAGCTAACTTGTATTAAATAAGAATATTAATAGGGAAATTAGCTCTATAAAATACAGTTGCTTATGCAATTACTGATATTTTAATATTTATTTTACACCGATACAATGCTTTTCTACATAGGATGTAAACGAAACAAGAGCCCAAACGATTGCAGCACACCTATCGGCAAACTTATTTATTACCTCTGCATTTAAGGGTGAAAACAATAGACAGGAATTCAGAGACCAGATAATCTATTGACTCTGCTCTAGTCAAATTAATTAATTTCTAATATTTATTTATATCCTTTACAAAGCCCATGAATTTGGCATATCGTTTAGAGTGTTTACTATATAACGGGCTATGGTTGTTGATGTTTATACATAATATGTGTGAACACACGTTTGGAAAAATATGTGATCACAAGCGACACTAAGATGCTAGCGGAACGAGTGTTAAACACAGACTGATGGAGCATGCGCACAATCCGGGACTTTCCTCTTCTCGTCACTCGTTATGTGAAACGTCACTAGTTATGTGAAACATCGCTCGTTAAGCGAGTCATTTTTTTACAATTTGTTTTGCTCGTTATGCGAGTTTTCACTGTATCTGGATTTAAACTTCACTCACAATAGAGGACAGACAATTCGATTGACAAGATGCATAGGCCTATTAATTCTTTACAAGTAGTGATCACATTCCGACTAAATTTCTTAAACCACTACTCCATTCGGCAAGACCGGCCATACTCGAGATGTGACACACGACCATCTATTATTTTCCCACCCCGTCGATCTTTAACCACCAAAATTTAATAGCATCAATCCCCTAATACACAAACCGCCCTGCAAAATTTCAGAAATTTTCGACAAAAAGCACAGGAGCTATTAAGCTTCAAACATGGTGAACAAAATTGTGCCTCCCACATACACACACACAAGCATCCATACATGCATACATACAGAAAATATCCCCTATTTCATTTTTCGATGTTTCAAAGTCCCGGGTCCAAAAAGTAAAAATCTTAGGGGGGTCATTTTTTTACCGATCGCAATACTTTACTTCTGTTATATATAACAGAGATGGAAAAGTGAAAAATAGTTTATTGAAGAAAATAATTGTCATTACGTTTCAGCATCTCCTTCCGTCGAATAGACAGGTTACGGTTTCCTGTTGAATGAGACACGGGCTCTTTTGACTCGAACTCTGCAAGTTTGATTTTCGTCTCTTCATCATCAGAGAAGTGCTTTCCTTCCAAGAAGTGTTATGTGGATCGGAAGAGACGGAAGTCAGATGGTGCAATATCTAAACTATACGGGGAGTGACCCTCCTAACCGAGATCAAGCAGCTTCTGTCGGTCAGACACGTGCAGTCCTGCACGTGAAGTAACACGTAGAAAGCAAGACCTTGACACGTGCGGTCTTGCTTTGTCAGGAAGAAAACGCACAATGCTCATCTGTAGCCGCTTAGAGCGAATAGCATCAGCCAAACGTTGCAGCTGAGCGCAGTACATTTCGGAAGTTATAATGGTACAGTATTCCGTGGAAGCATCTCCAAATGGACTGATCTGCAAACATCCCACTAAATACACAGCATAACTTTACGCTGATGCAATTCCCGTTTTGGCACACAGAATAGCTTTTTACTTATGATTGTGCACATCAACACCCTTCATTTACATATCTACAAGAAACTTCTAGATGTCATCTGCCGGAGAACAATTTTGAATTTTCTAAATTCAAAATTGTTCTCCGTCAGATGGCATCTAGAAACTTTTGCATCAATCATTCTTTAGAATTCGTTATTTTTAGATAGTAAAGAATACTTATCATTCTTTACTATCTAAAAATAACAAATATGCCTTCATCTCAACCATATTTTTAAAAATCCGTATAATCAATATAAAAAGATTAATCGCAATTGGGCGATTAATCTTTTCACATTGATAATTATTCATTATTAAATAAGAAACGTATACATTAACTTTTTAACTACAAATTGTTATTGGTGTAATTCTAGTTATTTTTCGATAATATACATATTAAAAGAGATTGGAAGAAACTCGTAGAAATACCAGAATAATTTAAAATAGCATACATAATTCTGAAAAGCACATGACACGATTTTATAGAAAACTTAAACTATCAAAGATGGAACCTTATAATTTATATAATTGTGTTATGAAAATTATTAAATAAAATTGTAATTGTGAATTACCAACTAAATTTAAGGAGTTGCTAAAATATAACTAACTAGCAGACCCCGCCACGCGTTGTTGTGGCTCAAAATGTATCTACAGTAGAACCTCGATTATCCGCCCTAATTGGGGACTGGGGTTGGTCGGAAAATTGAAAAGTATGAAAAAATCCATTATTAGTGTAGTATATTATTATATCCCATGTAATTAGTATATTAGTATATCGCTATTAACCTATTTTGCGTTGAATTTTCATCGATGTTAAGCCTAACAAAAATTTTTTAAAATAATAATCGTCGCTATTGTATCGTTAAAAATTAGAAAATTAAGCTTCGTTTAAATACTGGCTCCCTTTCATGGTCGAATGAGTGTTGCCAGCTAAAACACGTAAAAATAATATTAAAGTAGCCAAGACATAGCCAAATATTGTAGCGCCACATCACTAGCGGACATTTGAAATTTGCC